TGGTGGAATTCCCTCTGGGGAGCTTGAGCTTCAGAGGGGGAAGGAATTTTGAGTGGAGGAACCCAGATCAAATCAAGGGGGAACAGCCAGGGAATAGCCAGGAAAAAACAGGGAATAGACAGGGAAAAACCAGGGAAAAAACAAAATATCCAGGGACTAGCCAGGGAATGACCAGGGAATAGCCAGGGAATAGCGAGGGAATAGCCAGGGAAAAAACAGGGAATAGCCAGGGAATAGCCAGGGTCTCTCTCTTCATGTCCACTTCCCCATCCATGCCCTGTGCTGCCCATCCCTCCCTCCCTCGTGCCAGCCATGCTCTGGCATTCATGCACATGCTGTGAAAACATGGGGAGGGGGGGGAAGCTTTTCCAGCCGGGGGGGATGTGGAGAAAAGCTGAGCTGGGGCGTTCAGCACAAAGCTGGGCAGTGGCTGGCCGAGGGGAAGGAATGTGGGCAGCAGCAGAACCATTCAGCACCAGCACAACAGCGTGAAAAGGCAAAAAGCTCCAAGGAAAGCCCTGTGGACAATGGCACACAAAAGGCCTTTAGTTGTTCGCCATCAGCAGTTTCCATGCCCATCCCTGGCTGTGGAGAGGGATCCACAGCAGGCCCTCCCTGTGCACCCAACATGTGAAGCTGGATGCCAGCCCCGGGCTCGCTGGCAGCTCTGGGCAGCAGCTGGCAGGGATGTGGCTCTGGGTTGGTTTTAGGGGCACAAAGGTGGGAACTGCAGCAGACTCCACCCCTGCTGTGGGCATGTGGCAAAGCCAAGGTGTTCTCTAGGTCCCAAACTGCTCCAGCCGGAAAACTCCTCACTCAGAGTCTCCTCTGCAGGTGTGTCCCCGTCGGAGATTTTAGCCCCTGCCCTGTACCACGGCTACTACATCCGACCCCGCATCAACAAGCAGCTGGAGAGGGGCACCTCGGAGATCTGCCTGAACCAGCACAAGTTCCAGGTGTTCCTGGACGTCTGCCAGTTCCTGCCCGACGAGCTCAGCGTCCGCACCGTGGACAACCTGCTGGAGGTGGTGGGGCAGCACCCGCAGAAGGCTGATCGCCACGGCTTCGTCTCCAGGGAGTTCACCAGGACCTACATCCTGCCCCTGGACGTGGATCCCTTGCTGGTCAGGGCCACCCTGTCCCACGATGGCATCCTGAGCATTGTGGCTCCCCGGACGGGCAAGGAGGTGAAGGCCAGGGTCAACGAGGTGAAGATAACCCAGCAGGAGCAGCCAGTGGGGAAGGAGGAACAGGCTGAGGAAGGAAAAGAGAAGGAAAAATCCTAAAGGCCGCAGATCTGGGAAGGTGGGGGGGACAGGGATGGGGAATCCGCAGTGCCAGACCCCTGTTCCTCACCATCAGAGTTTAGCAGGGCCTTGAGGCAGCCACACTTCTGCTTCTCGAGGCTGATGGCTGGGAACAAAAGGAACTTGGAACTGGAAAAAAGAGTGGGACTGAAGTGTGAGTGTGAGTGACTGTAATGCAAGTTTTCTCCTAGGTCAGGCGAGCATGCAGGCAGCTCTGCTCTCACCCTTAACTGTGAGGCTGTGTCTCAATGGACTGAGCTCTAGCCCAGAAGGGCACTGGGAAGAGAAAAGGGGATCCCAGTGCCTGGCTCCTGAGCTGGAGGCTGAGATTGGTGGCTGTGCAAGGTGGGTGTTGGTCTGTAAAAGTGCCTGCAGCAATCAGGAGGAGAGAGGAATAAATCTGCCTCTGCTCTTCTCTTGTTTGCCTTGGACTCGTGTTGCTCCTGTGCAGCAGGGAGGGTGGACAGTGCCCAGCTGGCACTGGGCTCACCTGTGGAAGTGGCACCAGTGGGGACATGGAGGGACTGTGCCACCTCTGTGCCACACCCCAGCTGCTGGTTCAGGGAGCCCAGAGTGAGGTGTGACCACCTCACCAGAGTGACCTCAAGGACAAAAAGGTGAGAGGAGTGATGAGCCCTTGGAAGGTCCCTGAGCATCTCCAGAGCTGCAGCTGGAAGGAGCCCGAGTTAATGGGGCACAAATGAGTGCCCAGCACATTCTGTGCCTGCTCAGCCCTTCAGCTGCAGGACATCCCTCACACACAGCCCTCTGTGGGGGGACTGAACCCAAAATCCTGACGGGAAAGGCTCTGCTCAGACCCCAGCTGCCTGGCTGGTGCCCCAGCCCTGTCTGTGAAGGCAGGGAGGGGCTGAATTTGGCCCCTTTTGCAGACACTGTGTGCTACGTGAGCAATGTCCCCGTGGTGGGGACAGGGATCGTGTGTGCTGCGCTGGCAGCTGCCGCTCCGGCGGCCCCAGGGCTCAGCAGGTGACAGTTGCCACCCTTGTGTCGTCAGAGCCAAGCCAGGCACACAAAATGCTGTGTCAGTGGCTAAATTTGGGGGTGCCTGGCATGCCTGGTGCTGCTCTCCCTACAGAGAGGAGGGGAGGCTCCAAAATCCTGGGGGATGTGACTTCCCCCACTCCCTGTGGCTCTGCCCACCCCGGGGCAGGAATGCCCCCTCAGGCCCTGCCCAAAACATCCCTTGGGACTGGAACACGGATATCAGGATGATTTTTGCCCCCTGCCAGGCCCAGTGGGATGCAGAGCAGGGCACTGCCCAGCTATTTTCAGCTCTCTGCCCTGGGGATCAGTCAGACGAGGAGCAGCCCTGCCTGCCAGGCTCAGGGGGCACAGCGAGGGCACTGAGCCCAGGGCAGAGCTGCTGCCCTCAGTGCCCAACCTCCTGCCCTGGCCCCTGGAGTAGAACCAGATAAACTGCCAAAATAAAAAATCACCTTTCCAACAGGCGTTGTCTAAGTCATTAATAATAATTCCAGCTTAATTTTGGGCTTGGGGCTTTGAATCACCTTTCACTCAGACCCCAGATGAGGAGGGCTGAGCTCCTGAGCCCTGTGGTGGGGGCAGAGCCCCAAGGGTGTGTGTGGGCTCAGGCATGGCCATCATTTCCTCACTCCCCTCCTAAAATCTTCCTCAGACCCACAGACACACTCTGGCAGCAGCTCCAAAAGGCTTCTCTTTGCCCCTGCTCTGGCAAAAGTGCTTCCCTTTGCTCCCTGCAGGTTTCCTGTGATGGGGACGAGCTCCTGCCCTGGCTGGGGACGGGGGATGGCCAGCAGGTGATGGGCAAGGAGAGCACCCACACAGCCTGGCACACGTGGCACAGCCTGGACCATCAGGTGCCTTCTGTGCCTGCTCAGCAGCTCTGGGGGCTGAAACAGCTCTGGGGCTGCCCTGGGAGAGGATTCTGAGACAAAAGGAGTGCCCAGACCAGCACAGAGCTCTCTTCTGCATTTCTGATAGACCATGCCAGCCCTGTGTGCTGCACCACACCTGTCCTGGTGCCTGAGGGACCTTTTGCCATAAAAATGCCCAGAATTAGTAGTGACTACCCAATTCTGTGCTTTGGCCCTGATTTTGCTCTCCCCTGTTCATTCCCCTCGCCCTGGTTTTGCTGTCCCCTGGCCCTGGTTTTGCTGTCCCCTGTTCATTCTCCTGGCCCTGGTTTTGCTGTCCCCTGCTCATTCTCCCCTCCGGGCTCTTGTGCCGTGCTGGTGTCACAGCTGTGTCACGATGCAGGACAGGGGCTGGCAGTGCCCGGGGCGGGCAGGGCTGTCCCCGCTGTCCCCTGCAGGACAGGCTGTCCCCGCTCCCATCCCCGCAGACACCGCCGGCAGGGAATGCGGGGTGGCAGCCAAGCGCTGCCGGCCCCGCCAGTGTTTGTGATGCTTTTCTGTTTCTCTGCTGGAGCTCAAAGCGGCAGCTCCAGTGTTTGTGGGAGAGGCTGATGGGAACAGGCTCCCAGCCGGTTTTTTTTGCTCCTTCCCCACAAAGCAACAAAGCCTGAGTTATCCCAGAAATCACAACAGACGCTGGCTCATTAAAACAACAGAGACAGAGACACAGAGTCTGCAGCTTCCCAGGCAGGGACAGGCTCCTGGGAGCACCTGGACTCTGCAGCAGCCTGAGAACACTGAATCCCAGCTGTCTGCACAGATCTAATCCTAAATTCTGTGGCATTTCTCCAGCCCCAAGCTGAGGAGCAGTGTCAGAGCAAGGCAGGTCACAGTGCTGCTCACCCAGAGCCAGCTGTGACCCCTCCAAAGCAGAATCCTGCTCCTTCTGCCACTCCTGGGCAGGTCCAAGCCTTGCTGTGCCCTGGGGCAGGGGGTAGCTGGGGCTGTGAGCCTGGCTGAGAGCGTGGGTACACCTGGAGTAGGAAACAGAGCCAGCTCCTGCCACGGAAATGTGAATTAATGCTCACCCCGTTGTTGGACACCCCTCGAGGGATCAGACCTGTTCAGAACCAGGGCTGGCTGCCAGGTCAGGGCTGTGGGCAGAGTTGCTGCTCGAGAATGACATTTAAATTATATCTTTCAGGAGGATCTGTTCTCTTAGACCTGCCTGAGACAAGGTCCCAGGAATTACCCAATCCTTAGGTGCAGCAGTGACCAGGGCTCTGGTCACTCAGGCTGGCCACTCGGAGGGGTCTCACCCGGGGCACAGAGGTGAAATGCAGGTCCCTGTTCCCACCTGACCCACTGGGGCTGAGCTGAGAGCTGCTCTGCAGCTCCTTGAGGCTGTGGGGGCTCTCCTGGGACCCTGCACTCTCAGAGGCACAGAACTGAACCCTTTTACCCAGCTAGCTTGAAAGAAAGTGGATTTCCACCGTCCCTGAGGCCGTGGGGCAGCAGCAGCAGACCTCACTGAGAAGAGAACTGCAGGAAATCCTCTGGTTCCCAGGTGTGCCACACCTGGCACAGCTTTCCCCGGGGTGCGAGGATGGGCAGCGGGAGCAGCACCGTGCTCCCACCCTGGGGCTTCTCCTTTTGTCTGAAGTCCCTCCTCCGTCCCCTTTTGCGGGGACAGAGGGACAGCGGAGGGACGGGTGACAAAGGCGAGTTTTGGCCGCAGGGGACACGGCAGCGGGGACAGCTCCGGTAGATGGCACACGGGGCCAGCGCTCCGAAACCCGACACTGGCAGACACTCCCCGAGAGCCAGGGGCCGAGCAGGAACCAGGAAATACAAGCTGAGCCTGCCCGGAGAGCTCGGGATCGGCGGGGAAGGAGGGAGCGACATGGGCAACCTGTGCGGCTGCGGCTGGCGCTGGTGAGTGCGGGCCGGGCACCGGGCACCGGCACCGGGCACCGGGCAGCGGCACCGGGCAGCGGCGGGATCCGGGAGGATGCGGGAGCTCCGCGCCCTTGTGCTGGGCTGGCCGGGGCTCTGAGCCCTGTCCCTGCCCGCCGGGGACAGCTGGGCACGGCAGCACGGCTCTGCGGGTGCCCGGGGCACGGCGGCACCGCGACACGGGGCGTTTGTCACATCCCAGCCCGGGCGGGAGCGGCGGCTTGGGGTGATGCAGCTGGGAAGGAGCTGGGGACATCGCAAATCGCTGTCCTCAATCGCTGTGCCCATGCCACAGCTCCCATAAGGCGTCCCTTTGAGGGGTCCCTGGGACAAGGGGGGCTTGTCACATCTCAGCCCGGACGGGAGGGGCAGCTTGGGGTGATGCAGCCGCCCAGCAGCTGGGAAGGAGCTGGGGAAATCCCAAATCCCTGTCCTCAAATCGCTGTCCTCAAATCTCTCTGCTCATGCCAGAGCTCCCATAAGGTGTCCCTTTGAGGGGTTCAGCCACCCCGTCCTGCCCGCAGCTGTCCCAGCCCCTCTCCCTGCCCGCGTCTGTCCGGGTTTATTTCTGCTCGGGAAATCCACGTTGTTGAGATGCTGTGGCTCTTTCTCCCTGGCAGGGGGGGTGGCACTTTAATCCCTCCTGGCTCCTGCTGTGCCCTGCACCTCCTGCTCGCAAAGGGCAGCACTCGCTGTGGGAATATTTTCAGCTCTGCCAGGGGAAGAGCCGTGAATTTCAGACTAAGCTCCCAGGGCGTTCTCTCTCCTGCGTTTGTTCAAAGTACGAGAAATTCATCCGGTGGTTAATAATTCCAAGAGGCACAGCATCACCTAGTGGAGGAAGGCTCAGGAGCTGAGGACAGCCAGCTTCTTCCAAGCCCTGAGCCTCGAGGAGTTTGGGATTTCGGAACAGGAGTTGGAGGTGGGAGGTGGAAAGCTGGCCACCACCAAAACTCCCATTTTCATTTCCTCTGCCCTGTGGCAGGGGGTAAATGAGGCACCCAGGGCATCAGCAGGCAAGGGCTCGGTCAGGGGATGCCCGGGGCACAGTCTGAGGTCTGTAAAGAAAAGCTGTCACAGCAAATCGATTCTGTCTGGGAAGTCATTGATGAAGGAATTGTGCCCTCGGGTCCGGCTCCTCTGCCCCGTGCAGGGCAAGCCCAGGCTCTCACCATCCAAGTGGCACTAGAGTGGCACAGACACGGCAAGCTGCCCAAATCCAGGCCCCAGGATTGTGTGGGGCAGGAATCAGCCTGGCCTGGGCACGGGGAGAGTCAGGCAGCAGTGCAGGAATGGGGCTGTGCCTGCTGCCCTGGAGAATCCTCTCAGCCTGGGAGCTCCAGCTGCCTGACCCGCTTTGGAGAGCAGGGGAGAGGCTTCCCTGCTCCCATTTCCCGTGCCACACGTGTCCCCATTCCCGGGGAGATGCCTGGCTGTGATTATCCTGCAGACAGGAATAGCTGCAGCCCACACACTGCCTGCAATGTTCCCTGCACCGAGGGAGGCAGCCTGGGATGTCTGCCCAGAGAGGGGAGGGAGCCTGCTGCTTCTGCCCCAAAAGGTGCTGGTTTGGTGAAATACTTCATGTTTGGCTGCTGAAGGGAAATGGAAGAAGGGAAATGGGGGAAGGGAAATGTCCCAAAAGGTGCTGGTTTGGTGGGATCCTGCTGGCAGGAAGGGAAATGCCCCAAAAGGTGCTGGTTTGGTGGAATCCTGCTGGCAGGAAGGGAAATGCCCCAAAAGGTGCTGGTTTGGTGAAATACTTCATGTTTGGCTGCTGAAGGGAAATGGAAGAAGGGAAATGGGGGAAGGGAAATGTCCCAAAAGGTGCTGGTTTGGTGAAACCCTCCATGCCTGGGTGCTGGAGGGAAATGGAGGAAGGGAAATGTCCCAAAAGGTGCTGGTTTGGTGGAATCCTGCTGGCAGGAAGGGAAATGTCCCAAAACGTGCTGGTTTGGTGGAATCCTCCCTGCCTGGCTGCTGGCAGGAGGCAAAGTGCTCTCCACACAAACCTGGGCAAGGAGGAGACGCTGCAGACAGAGGAGGAGGAGGAGGAGGAGGAGGCTGTGAGAGTCCCACAGAGGAGTGCTGCTGTGAGTTAAAGCCCAAATTCCTGGGAAGAACCGCCTGGATTTTGCCCGTGGAGGGCAGGAGGTGCCCCTGTGGCAGCGCTGGAGCCTCGGCCACCCTGTCCTGCCCAAACTGCCTCTGCCTGCCCAGGCTGGTTAATCATTACTGCCCATTCCAGAGCTCCCTGCCGGCATTCCCGGGGTTTTTGTTTTCCCACTGCAGTGCCAGGGCATGGCTGCACACCCCTGGAGCTGCCTGGGAGAGCTGGCACAGGCACAGCCCTGCCCGGGGCACTGCTCTGTGCCAGGGCTCAGCCTGTGGGACACGCAGCATTCCCTGAGCCCACCCAGGGCTCTGCCTGCTGTAAGAGCTGAAATGAGGGGTGTGGGACTCCAGGCAGCTCTTCCAAATGCAGTTTATTGTACCCAAGATGTCACAGCAGGCCAGGGTGTGGGTGACAGAGCCTGTGCCCACAGCTGTCAGCTCCAGCTGCAGGCAGCCTGGGGACCCTTTAATTTTGGTTACAATGCATTCTATACTTTTCTTTGCTGAGCATCTTCATTCATAAGAACCAATCTATACCTTGACTTCTACCTATAGCCCATCATAACTACTGTAATTACCATATTCATGTTGCTGTTCTCCAATCACTAAAAGTTGGTACATTACAGTTGAAGCTAGAAGTTGTTTCTCAGTTTTCTTGCAGTGGAAAATTCGGAGACCTTTTTTCAGGGCTGATGTGTCTCTCTGATTGCAGGAAGTGTCCTTCACCTTTCAAGAGGAAGAAGGAGAAGCAAGGTAAAGGGTGGGTGACAGCGCTGTGAGTGACAGAGCCCCTGGGGAGGTGACATCCGTGCCCAGCCTGAGGCTGAGCTCCCCTCCCACGCTCCTTTTGCACTGAACCTTCCTCAGGAGAAGCTTGAGGCAGTATTTCTTTAAATCTTGAAGCAAGGAGGGTGATGTGCCATGAATTTGGGGAAGGAAGGGACTTCAGCAGTGCCTTTAAAACAACGCAGTCCCTCCTCAAAACACAGCCAAGGGCTCTCCAGCAGGGCAGGAGCTGCAAACATCCCTCTGACAGCACTCCCGGGATCAAGGGCATTCCTCAAGCTGTGTCCTGTGGCCTTTGGACCGTGCTGAGCAAAACATGTTTGCCAGGCAGCAGAGGAAATCACAAAGTTAAAGAGGATCTGACTCCTCCGAGGGCCTGACAAGAAGCTCTCTGTGCTGTGTCTGTGGCTTTGCCAAGAACTCCGTGCTCCACAGCGTGCTGCCATCCTGGGAAACCTCATTTTTCCCAAAGAAACAAGCCCAGGCTTTCTTCTTGGACACATTAGGGCTGAGGGAGTCAGATGAGTTGAAAATCTGATTTGTGCCCAGGGGGAGAGCCCGCACAGCACTGCGGCATCCCAAGGTGGAAAAACAAACTGGTTTAAGCTGACCTCCTGCTGTTTCTTTTGCAGGAGCTAATGTGAGGCATGAGGCTCAACAGCAGCAGCCTGGCAGGAAGGTAAACAGCTGCCCAGAGGGTTTTCCCTGAGTCCCTGAGCGTGTGTGGAGGAGACAGAGCTGCCCTGAGCTCCGTGGGCCAGGAGGGCACGGGGCAGGATCCAGAGCCAAGAATCCTCTCCTGCTGGGCAGCCTCTAACCTGGGCACGGTGCCCGTGGCTTTTCCCACATTTTTTGCCCCCTGCCTATAGGAATGTGTCCCCTGTGGAGGGAGTGACCAAATTATTCTTTGTCTGCTTAAAAAGGCAAAAAGCTCGGAAGTTTCTGTCCCAAAAGAGGACAGCATCCACTATGCCGACATCCAGGTGTTCTCCAGGGCAGGGCAGCGCTCGGCGGCCGAGCTGAGGAGCCTGCAGCTGCAGAACGCCACCGAGTACGCCACCCTCAACTTCCCCAGGGCCAGGCTCAAGTACGACAGCAAAAACGGGACCTTGGTCTAAAAGACTCCGTGGCCTCGTCCTCGTCTTTCGGCAGGAAAAGGAGGTCGCAGCTGTCGGTGCAAGGAAACCTCGTGGGCACGGCTGGGAGTTGGGAGAGGTGTGTGTCCCACCTCAGACATTCTCACTGAGGAGATTCCCGTCTGATTGTGCTGGAAAAAACGCCTGCTGCCCTCGGGAGAGCTGCCCCCGGAGTTGGCAGCCAGCTCCTGCCAGCCCTGCAGAGCTGCTGGAGGCTCAGGGCTGCAGGCAGAGAATCCCTGCTGTGGCACAGCTCCAGCCTTGGGAATGCTGCTCTGGGAATCCAGGAGTTCAGCACTGAAGAGAGGTTTTGGTGCTGCCTCTGGGAATCCAGGAGTTCAGCACTGAAGGGAGGTTTTGGTGCTGCTCTGGGAGTCCAGGAATTCAGCACTAAAGGGAGGTTTTGGTGCTGCCTCGGGGAATCCTGGAATTCAGCACTAAAGCGAGGTTTTGGTGCTGCCTCTGGGAATTCAGCACTGAAGGGAGGTTTTGGTGTTGCCTTTGGGAATCCAGGAATTCAGCACTGAAGGGAGGTTTTGGTGCTGCCTCGGGGAATCCAGGAATTCAGGACTAAGGGGCACAGCACCTGGCAGCCAGAAATGCAGAATTAGGAGGGTGCAGAACGATTTCTGTCACTGATGGGCTGTTCAGAGGTGCATCCTCACTCCCCTGTGCAAACAAGCGAGGAGAGAGCTCCTGGCTGGGACTGGAAGTGAAACCAGGGGAAATTGGCAGTTTAGCTGCAGATCACTGCCTCTGTTTAGGGCACTTCTCCAAGTCCAGCAGCTGCCTGGGATACTGGGAATGAACCCTGGGCAGCTGCAGAGAAGACTTTGGACTTTGCCTCCGCTTTTCCATCATTTTGTGCTGCCAGCCCTGGTTATAAACCCCGGTGACACAGAGCACACACCTCGTGGGGCTGTCAGCTCCACCTCTGTTTCTGGATTTGAAATAGTGTCCACAATTCAGTGTAGCAATGGTGCAAACTGGGCAGCACTGGCAGGGCACCAGGGCTCCCCAAACCCCATCTGCAGGCGCTAAAGCAAGGCCTGGCACGTTCTGCTCCTCAGTCATGGCCTGCAGAGCAGATTCTGGGGCAGCTCTGGGCACGTTTGGAGATGGTTCCTTTTATAAACACACAGAACTTTGCAGTTTATAACTCAGTTGGGTGGGAAAAGCACGAAGGAGTTCCTGCTCGTGGTGAAAAATAAAGCTGCTCTTTATTTTTCTGTGCTGTGTTTGCCAAGGTGGAAGTGTTTGAGGACCAATCTTCCCATTTTCCTACGTGTTTTAATGAGTGCCCGAGCCCCTGGAATGGTTCTTTATCTCCCATTCCCGAGGAGCTCTGGCTTCCACACCACCCTCGGGGCTGTTCCTGGAAGCACAGCTCATCCTAGAGACAATTCCACGCTCCCATTCCGGAGATTTTCCCCTGGCTTTCCATGGAGAATTGTGGAATCCACGTGTTCTGCAGTAGAGATTTTCCTGAAGGACTCTGTTTTGCACTGAATATTAAAATCGCCTGTACTGCCCGCGCTTGCCGTGTGTGCCAAACGAGTGCTGATGTATCATTAAAGACGCAATATTCAGTTTTAATTGAGAAATCCGCACTTTGGGCGAGGCTTTGCGGGGCTGGGGGCACACAGAGGGTCCCGCTGCTGGGGCGGCGGTGCGGGGCTGGGCAGGGGCTTCCCTGATCCCGATCCTGATCCCGATCCCGATCCCGATCCCAATCCCGGCCCCCGATGCCGGGGCGGAGCCAGCGCCATCCCGCCCCCGTTCCCGTGGCAACCGGAGACGCGCCGGGAGCAGGTAGGGCCGGGGGTGCGGGTCCTCGTACCCACCGCAGTCCCATCCCATCCCAATCCCTGGTGGATTTGCTGTTCCCCTCAGGTTCAGGAGTGCTGGGACCCCCCTTGGCACTGAGGTGACATCCAGCATGGGGACTCTGATGGGCACGGGGCCCCGCCACCCCCCTCAGCCTCCTGCAGCCTCTGTGAGTTCCCAGCAGCCTTTTCGGTGTCCTTTCTGTCCCTTTTGGTGCTTCAGAGGAGTTTGGGGTCAGTGACACGAGTGCAGCCATGGCCTTAGGCAGCTCTTTGGGTTCTTGCTGCAGTCACGGCCCCACAAACCCCACGGGTGAATCCCTGCCCCAGGAATCCCTGCCCCAGGAATTCCTCCTTTGTTTTCACCCTTCCAACCCCGATTTAGTGACCAGAAGTGTGCAAGGACAAGGGCTGGGGTCATGCTGGAAGTGGCCAGGAGATGGCAATGCCACCAGCCCAGTGCCACCAGCTCAGTGCCACCAGCCCAGTGCCACCACGCCTGGCTGGGCTCTCTCACCCCAGGGGCACTGCTGGGGCACCCTTTGGTGACATCCTTTGGGTGTCACTGCCCCAAGGGGGTTGGAGTCACTGGGCAGAGGATTCCTTTCGAAAATTCGGGGAGAATTCTGAAGGTTTTTCCTGTTAGTGAGAGGCTTCTTGCAAAAGCAGCACTGAGAGGCACCTCTTGTGTAAAACTGACAGCAAAAAACTTTCCCTGCCACAAGCAGCTGGAAACTTGGAAGTCAAGCACAAAGGGAGAAGTGCAATTTAATTTTTAAAAGTTATTTTTAGCCCACACACCCACCCCATGCCCATTTGTGTCCCCACAATGGACGGAGAATGGCTCAGCATGTCCAGCCTGGTTTCTGTTCCCTGGCATTCAGGCAGAGATAAAAAAAACCTCCTGCAGAAGGAAATCTTTGATGAGAAAACCTCTGAGCAGGGCTGTACCTGAGCCTGGCAGGGAAAAGGAGAACATTTGGAACATTTTGCCTTTGCTGGGCTGGTGTTGGGGCAGGAGGGGGCTCTGCAGGAGGGAGAGGGGATGAAAGGGAGCCCCTGCATCCCAGACTTCAGTCCCAGCTCTTCTGGGTCAGCCCAAAAATCTCAGCATCCTTCCTTGTCATATTACAAATCCCCTGTGAATGTGTGTTTGCCATGTAAAAAGCAGGTGGTAAATATATATAATGCAATAAATATAAATATATGTAGTAAATTATTAGTCAGGAAGAGCATTTTAAAGTCCACAGTGGAAGCTCAGAGTGTGTTTTGTTGGTTTTTCCTTCAAAATTAGGTCGCTTTTTGTCTCATGGGGGAACCACTTCGTTTTCCCACTAAATTTTATTGGAATTGCACAAGCATAAGCTACTCAATTGCATTAAAAAATGGGGTTAAATATTTATTTAATGGCATTTTGAAGCTCAAAAGTAAACGGGATCAAGGCTCCAACCCCCCAGCAGCTCCAGCTTACGAGGCTTTGTGCAAAGCCTCGCTGTAATCTGTTGTTTTGCTTAACAGATGTAGTATTAGAACCGATGAAAACATAAAAATCTCCACTCCCACGGAATTATGAAAAGCAGGGAGAGCAAACGTGAATAATTTAAAACGGGAGGAGAGGGAACTGCCTCCTTTTGGGCTGGTCACAGAGGGAAGCGATCTGTTGCTTCTCTTTCTGTGTTTTAGCTGTGCCAGGCTAAAATTGTGACATTATGCCATTGATTATTCCTCGGGATGCTTCAACACTTAGGCAGGAGGGAAAAAAATGTTTGTTTTTAATTGCGTCTCACACTTAGAAATGCCTGGCAAGACATTTCGGGAGGGCAGCGGGGCCGGTGCCGCCCTGTGCCCGCCAGGCAGAGCCCCTGCCTGGAGCGCTTTTCACCCGTTCCACTCTGATTTTCCTTTTTTTCTGTCCCCCCGGGCACTTCCTGTAAGGTGACACCAACTTCGAGAGGCAGCCTGGGGACACCCGATACTTATTTCTGTGATGGGTGCGCTTATTGGTGTGGGGGTTGTGTTTAATTGTTTGAACTTTTTCTCTCGGGTTTTGGGGGGTTTTTAATGTTTGGTTTTTTTTTCCTTGAAAAATGCAAAGTTCAAACCTGCAAACCTCCCAGCTCTCGTGGCCTGCCTTGCAGCTTCCTGTGGCTGCAGAACGATCTTCTCTCAGTGCTTTGCTGCCCGTGCATGGTATCACCTCCCTCCCTTCCTCCTCTTCCTCCTCCTCCTCCTCCTCTCTCCCCCCACACCAACCAGAGCTCGCTGCGTACGGCGTGTTTGAAAAATCCCATTTACACAGCGGGTTCGGGGAGGGTTTTTGAGCATTTCTTTTCCCTTTTGGCTGGAAATGGGTTTCAGATGTTTTTTTCCCCGCGCCTGCATCTCGTAAAGCCGCGGCGTTGCCGTGACAACCCAGTGACATCCCTGCCCGCTCGCTCCCTCCTCCCGCCGAGCATGCCCAAAGCGAGCCGCTCCGGCTCAACTCTGCCCGGGCTGCACAGATGGGACCATGAGCGCCCTTCCCCGTGAGCTGCCGGCCTTTGTGCTCGCGAGGAAGAGGAGGGAGAGCAGCCCCGAGGCGCCCCGCAGCCCCTGAGCCCCCCGGGACGATGCTCGCCTGCCTGGCCAGGGGGAATCTGCTGGATATCCTTCAGGAGGGCTTCACCGAGGTAAAGCCACGTCCCCGAGCTTCCCCCGGAGGAAGGCAGGATGGTTTTGTGGGGCGGAAAACGCGGGGGGAACAGCGAGGCTCCTGGCGGGGGCTGCGCTGCGGCAGGAGTTGGGTGAGGAGTTCGTGGCCGGTTTTACCGGCGGGGTTTGCGGAGCTCGGGGGGTTTGTGCTCTTCCCGCTGCTCTGCTGCTGTCCCGGGAAATAATACAAACTGCTGGAGGGCTGCGGGGCAGCGTTTGTTGTGTAAAACCCGCTCCTCTCCCGGGGGATGTGCGGTGTCTGTGTGCTGGGGGCTGT